TGGCATAAGGAATCTTTGACATATGCTCCACCTCATCCTCGGACTGAGGCATTTGTGACTCTGAAAGTTTAAAATGAGGAGCTAATGGTGTACTTACAGGCTTGCACGTATGCATATTGAATCTCTCGAGAACCCTTTCAATATACCTCTTCTGAGAAAGATATACAACATCATCTTCTCTTGAAATCTCCATACCAAGGATTTTCTCTGCAGCTCCTAAATCCTTCATGTCAAATTCCTTACTCAATAGTTTCTTCAAAGCATTTATCTCTGTAATGTTGTTAGCAGCAATAAGCATATCATCAACATACAACAGNTTTTTGCCTTCAAAAAATATACTCAAACCTTTCGTGAGAAATCATCAATAAAAATGAGAAGATACCTCTTTCCGCCCTTCGATGGAAGTTTAGAAGTACCCCATAAATCTAAATGGATGTAGTCTAGCACTNAGTAGCCTTGTTCATCCAGAGTACTCAAGGAGATCAAATTCTTCTTTAGATCAGGAACATGACGGACTTGTGTAATAGTCCTCACGATTCCATCATGGCAGCGAACTCGAACTGAGCCAATGACAACTATTGCACAAGTTGCATTATTGCCCATTACTACGGTTCCTCCACTTTTCTCGTAGCTGCTAAACCAGTCTTTTCGGAACGTCATATGCAGAGTACAAGCAGAGTCTAACACCCATTTGTTTTTGTAACTACTATTATTATTACACGATGTTGTTAGTACATAATCATTATCAAAATTATGTACCTGTTCAACTGTAGATACACTCGCCTTTTCCTTGGACTTTGACATTAGGCAATCTCGTTCAAAGTGCCCCTTCTTGCCACAACCCCAACACTCTGTATTCTTCTTGTTCACACGAGACTTTGATCTGTGCTTTGATTTGCTCTTTCTCTATTGGCTAGTCCGGCCTCTTACAAAGAGGCCACTTTCCTGGTCATCTCTATCTCCTTCAATGTGCCTCCGCACATCACTAGAGTTAAGTGCCTGCCGCACTTGCTCAAGTTTGATAGGCTCCTTGCTATACATCATTGAATTCTCAATATCACGATATCCTGAAGTCAATGAAAATAGCAAAGCACATGCAAGAGTCTACTCCTCCCTTTTAATTCTTGCAATCTGTAAGTCCATGACAAGTTTATTAAACGCATCTAAATGATCTTGTAACGAAGTACTTGACCTCATCTTAAATGTGTGAAGACGCCGTTGTAACAACATTCTTGTTGTCACTTATCGGTCTTGGTATAGCCCTTCTAGCTTTTCCCACAACTGTTTGGTCGTCTCTTCGGTACCCGTACTCACTTCACAAAGCACGTTAGGTGCAAGGGATAGTTGGATTGCACTCAATGCATCCCCTTCAATCTTCTCCTTGTCGGGAGCTGATATATCCGTAGGATACTTTCCGTCAATAGCATGGATTGAACCTTCCCTCCGCAGTAACGCCATCATCTGGATCTTCCAGATATTGAAGTTGTTGCGTCCATTGAATCTATCAATTTCAAACTTCATGGAACTCATATTTGCTTGTTCTTCCTCCTTGGATCGTTAAAGAATCCTGTCGCTCTGATACCAATTGTTAGCGGAAACGTAAAAGAAAGAACACAAGATTTAACGTGGTTCGGATCAAAATAATCCTACGTCCACCAGAGAACAATTGCCCTTTTAATATTAACAAAGGAAGGGGAGATTTCCCAATTACACTTAAGAGAATTTCTCTCTTAACTCTCTACTCACTACAAGTATTGTATTATTTTGGGATGATTTCTACAAGTGAAGGAGTGCATCTATTTATAGAGGTAAAGACCTCCTCTTGATGTCATTGGTGACATCAAACTACCTCCTCTTGATGTCATGGGTGACATCAAAGGAGGAAGCTTCCTCCTAGCATCCACACCAACTCTTTCCACCACTCTTCCAATTGGCATGCCATTGTTGACTAAACATAAACCAACATTTTCAGCATGCCATTGTTAACTAAACATAAACCAACATTTTCACCTACCTTCCCACTACAACTATGTTCTCCAAAGATCTTAGCTAGCATGATCCCTCTTTAAGAAGTTGAAAATCTTTGGTACAATGCGACTATGATTGTATCGGTTAAATTTTTTTGCGTAGATTGCTTACTAAAATAGTTTTTGATCTTCAAATCGAGTATATTGTGATGATGACAATTCAGTTAAGTTTCAATCTTTTTCAAGTTACTTTTAATGATATCCTCTATTACACTCTTTAACTTTCAACAGAAATAATAACAAATTTAACTCCATAATCAATTCAAGTTCGTCCAAAGTCAAACTTTTCTTTCATGAGATGGGTAAGTCACAAGACTAACCATGCTCTATCCTTCAATTTTTTCTCTTTTTAGCCGCAACAACACTTTATCGTCATGGAAGTAAGCAACTTAATATGACAGAACAACCTCAAAACAAAAAGGGGAAAAATAAATTTGATTGCAATAAACGCACAGAAGGTATCCTACCAGAGAAGTTGATAGTCTCACCTACTCAGGCTTTCCTCAAAGCAAACCAACTTCAACAGAGAAAAGAGTAAATTGAAAGGCTACCTATGTTCTTTTCCATATCAAGTAATTTCTTTTTCTAGCTGCAATTAGGCGAAATAGGTTATAATGTGATCTCACAGATGAACAAAATTGGAAGCTATGGAAACATATTGAAATATTTTTTGAATAATTACATATACAACTGTTATATATTTAGGACAGATATAAATTAGACAACAATACATGTTAGTGATGTCGAGCAAGTTTAAGTCTTTCTCCAGTGAGGCTATGCACTATTTTTACAACAGACATTACATGCCTCGTATTAGTTGTACCAAGAACGAAGCTAAAATAGACAAAAAAAATATTACTATCAGCTCCATAACAACAAAAAGGGGTCAACTCAATCTGGAGCACCTACAAAGAAATGAAAAGGCCACAAAACGTGAATCAACATATGTGAAAAATATTTAAAACTTTCAAGGTTAAAAAGGAACATGAAGAAAATGGAGTCACATATAAAATGGATCACTAAAAAATAGACGCAAGGGCAAGGAAGCAGCACAAAGCAAGTGGAAAACAACCAAAATACACCCAAAAAGTTGAAATACCTCCATAAGGAGCTACAACTTCTCCATTCATGTTGCATAAATTAAAATAATGGAGACCAGAAATATACTTACAACTACTAAGAAATCCGACCTTCGTCGATAAACAGATTCCGTCACATTCTTATTCCCATCCGTTTTCTGTCCAAAAGTGCAATAAAGAGAGAAAAATTGCACAAATAACTCACCAGCAATAAGAGAAGTCACATCCGAGAGAAACAGAATAAATTGACAAATTCGTAGAAGTGAAAACACAAGAGGTGATTATCCACAAAAACTGAAATAAACCAAGAGGTAATAGTGTTTAACCCAAAAAATAGTTTTCAAGGTCAAAGCAATAATTTTATATGACGGGCCACAAGCAACCGATTCAATCCGAAAGATATAAAATTTCGTTAATACAGCGTGATAGAGAAGTGATAAATAAATTCAATGTCAGATAATATAATAAAAATAAAGCAAAGAAGAAAGAATTCTTATTGAACGATCCTTGATAGGATAATGAGCCAAATAGAGCTTGAAGGGCTGAACTATGGCTAACTTGGGAGCAAGATGCTATAAATTACAATGTATAGAATTGCAGAGAAGAAAATTAGATTCTCCTGATGGTGGTAAAAGTATGTCTATTTATAGGGCTAAATCTAAGTAACTAGTCTCCTTGAATTATGGGTCCATTATGAGCATTTACTCAATCCATCCATTACTTTTGGAAGACTTGTAACAGCTGTGTAAATGCTGGAATTCCGTAACTGATGAGTTAATTCCATAATTGATGAGTTAATTCCATAACTGATGAGT